TTAAAACAAAGTGAACACATTTAGTTATGGATAAAGAACGTGTAGGAAACATGCATGATGGGCCACTGTTCAGTCACTGGAAAAGGGAAGATTTCCTATCATTTGAGGTACAGTGGACAGATTTCAAAGAAATAGTGAAATAACTCAGGCATTGACAGCCAAGTACCATATGTCCACACTCTTCAGCAGAAACTAAAAGATTCGATTGCACAGTAGAGAGTATAATGGCGGATACCAGAAGATGGATAGGGCAGAGAGATGGGGCGCTGAAGAGAGCTTGGCTAACACACAAGGGTGCATCGGAACAGTGGGATGAGTTAGAGAATACTTGAGCACATTAAAGAAATTTGGTGAGAATTCAATATATACTTCAAAATAACCAGAAGAGTGGAGTTCGAACGTGCACAACACAAAGTAATGATAAATGTTGGAGACACTGGACATGTTTTTGCCCAAATTCAATGAATACGCATTGCATACTCATTCCGTGTTTGAAAAACCACATTGTATTCCACGAATACACAGTTATATGTGAATTGGAAACTACAATTAAAATTATTATTTAAAAATTAAACTCTATGAGGCCGGCAGGTGGTGCAGTGGTTAAGGCACTGGATTCCCACATGGCCGACCAAAGTGTGAGTACCAGAACTGGGAACTTACTTTCTCACTTTCTCTTTCTTTAACCTCTTTCTGATGACTACACATGCCCCATAGTGAATTAATAATAATAATACATAAAATTAAATAATTTTTGGAGAGATTTTTGTAATAAGGCACATGCACTCACTAGAGAGACAAGGAGAGACAGGGAAAGAAAGAAAGGATTGCTGAGAAAAAGACATGGGAAAGGTAGGAGGGGAAGGAGGGCTGTATACCATCTTGACAGCCATTTTTCTCCCAAGAAACATTCTATATCAAAGGTTCCATATAAATTTTAGACAAAGAAGCACTAAAGGGCATCAAAAGTCCCAAGAAAACAACACTCAAGATTAGTGTTCCTTTATGGGATGTTTGGCTATGAAGAAAAATGGAATTCCATTCTTCCTTCATCTTTAAGAAATCTCTTTAGCAAGCCGAGATCAACACCTGTTGAAAACATAGGCCCTGGGTTCTGTCATGTGCAGCCAGAGTGAAGGGGGCTCCTTTCTGACCCTCAGGGCCCAAAGCTGTGGGCCTTATGGGGAGCCACCTGTGGCTAGTTTGATGAGAGCCAGATACCCAAGACAGGTCTAGAAGACGAGCTCTGCCGGCTAGGCTCAGAAGTCTGGGTAACCTGTGCTGTGGTAACACCTGGGGACTGGCCAAGTGACCATGAGGTCAGCCTCTTTGTCCAGGTGGACAATCTAGGACAGTAGAGAGTATGATTCTATGGACCGTCTTAAGTCCCAAAGAACCCTCTACTCTGTGTTTACACTCCAATGGCATGTCACTAATAAACCCACGGCAACATCAGTAGTGTCCAGTCAGTAACAGACGCAAGCAAGGCACTAAGGATGGACAGCCATGGCTATGGAGAATTCAGAATGGCACCCGGGAAGCTGAGAGGTGCAGACTCCCTGGGGCGACAGTTTGTCTTACACCTGCTCACCACCATCTCCCAGTCAGCCATGTCAGAGAACCAGGGACTCAGTCAGAGCCTATCACTGGCAAGCATGAAAGAAACAGGCCTCAACAGGGCAAGTCTACCAGTTGCTGCTGAATCAGACCAGAAATCTCAAATTCATAAACCAGTCCATAAAACTCCCCACAAATTCCAGTCTCTGAACAAGAAAGTGGTACAGAAAGCTGGACTCTTAAGAAGGCCAAAGAAGCACTAAAACCATATTAAGGGAGAAGAGGTATTTATTATATATTTTAGAAAAACTGTTTCAGGGGACTAGCAGTAGGCATAATGGCTATGTCACTAGATTCCCATGTAGTCAACCACGGTCCGAGTCCCAGATCTGGTGGCTTAAACTCATGCTGGGTGCGTGTGTGTGCGTTGTGCCCAAGAGCCCAAGAGGAGAATGGAGGAGAAGGGATTGCGGCATGGCCATCCCCCTGGGGTGGGGGGTGATTTCTTACTTTCTGTCTCTCTGTCTCTCTCTCTTTCTGGCAAATGCATGCACCCTATTGCAAAAAAAAAAAAAAAAAAAAAAAAAAAAAAATTTTCCAAAAAAGGGGGGGAAAAAAAAAAAGGAAGGAAGGAAGGAAGGAAGGAAAACTGTTTCAGACTTGTGTACTAAAATATATCATTGAACTCTACAGTGAGAAACTTCCAGGACAAAGCTTAAAACTTTATTAGTGTGCAATCATGGTTAACAGCTGACAAAAAGGAACACTTAAGCCACTGTCTTAAGTATTAGAAAATATATGCTTAAAATTTAGTTGAGTTTGTGGGCCAGCCAGCGACACAGTGGCTAAGACAGCTGGATCCCACATGGTGGACTGTACAGTTCAAGTCCTAGGACTAACTTGGATATCTGGCCCTTATCAAACTAGTCCAGAGGACTGAGAAACATGGGGGGCTGCAGGGAGGGACACGCCCAAAATCCCAAAGGGAGGCAGAGATGCAGGAGAGGGATTGTGATATGACCATTGCCATGCTGGGGGCTTTTTCACTTTCTCTTTCTCTCTTCCTTGCCCCCCCCCCCTCACAGTAGCACACCTGCCCTCTGACAAATATTAAAAAAGAAAAAAATTAGTTGAGTTTTCTAAACTCACATTATGCCTTGCTTTATCTCCTTAATTCTGTGGATTCTTTGAGCCTTCTACACAAAGAAGCAGATACTTCAAAAAACAAAATCAAGGACACGAACGATTAGGAACTAGAAATGGTTCAGCTAATCTACCATCGTCCTTGGACAAGGGTTGGGGAGTGTTGGGGAAAGTGGGGTGGACACACAGACAGACAAAGGGAAGGCCCCAGAACATCAAATGAAGTAGTTTGGATTTTATCCTGACTAGTTTTCAGCAGAGAACTGACATGGCAAATATTTATTCAATAAGTGAAGTAACAAATATAAGGGTAAAGTTTCTTAAGCACATTGATTTTGAGAGTGTGTTAAAATGTATTACTCATTAACTTGGGAATTAGCACATAGATAATACGCTGTGCCAGGGTGAAGTGACTGACAAGTTTGTAAATCTCCTGTGGCGGAAGGAACGTTTGTAAGAGTAGCTAAGCTGCTTCAAGTAATATTGGTTTATTTCACAAAGCTGTAAAACTTAGGGGTACGACAACTAAAACCATCTTCCCAGAGTTGTCAGATGTGAACAATTAATCAGAAATAACAAGTGATATATCTGAAAAGTACAAGCTTAGCAGATTGATGCTATTAATCAAGGATTTCAAACAGCAAGGTTTTATCCTCTGCAAGAGGCCTATTAGCACAGAGGCCCGGAGGTCTGCTTTTTTCAAGTGGCTCCCAATAAAATTTTTTGGTACACATTTACAGATGCAGAACACACAATTTGTTTTATTTTCAGTTTGGGTACAAATCCACCCACCCCATGGAAAATGACGGCAAATCATTTCCATGGAAGATTGCAAGAAGGAAAACATACAGCCATTTGGGAGCCCACAATCAATCCTAAAGATAATGAAGGCTTCCTTGGGACCCAAACAGTCAGAACTGAAGGCTTTCTGTTTCCTCATCGAAAAGGAATAAGGTGGCCTTAAAAAGAGTTTGAAAGAGACTTATGCTAACGCCTTATTTTCATTTCTTCACAACTTTACAAAAATCTTAAGATGTAACCAGTTTGCATATATTAAATTAAATAGGTAAAAGATCATGGCAATGACCCAGAGACTTTACTGCTAAGATTTTGGAAAATATTAGGTTGCTATGTTACTTTCTTCTCCACTCAGTAAACAACTCTTAAAGACTTTTTTTTTTTTAAGGTTTTTTGCCACAGAGCGCTTGAGCTAGCAGAAGAAAGATTCAGTGAGAAGGAAAAGTGAGAACCCACCCCTGGAGGGATACCACACCACAATCCCTTCTCCTTCATTCTCCTTCTGGGATTTTTAGGCATACATGCACCTGTGCCAAGTGTGATTTTTCAGGCCACCAGATCCAGGACTTGAACTATGGTCAGCTGTGTGGGAATCCAGCACCTTAATCATCATGCTACCTGCTGTTAAATAGGTAAAAGATCATGGCAATGACCCAGAGACTTTACTGCTAAGATTTTGGAAAATATTAGGTTGCTATGTTACTTTCTTCTCCACTCAGTAAACAACTCTTAAAGACTTTTTTTTTTTTAAGGTTTTTTGCCACAGAGCGCTTGAGCTAGCAGAAGAAAGATTCAGTGAGAAGGAAAAGTGAGAACCCACCCCTGGAGGGATACCACACCACAATCCCTTCTCCTTCATTCTCCTTCTGGGATTTTTAGGCATACATGCACCTGTGCCAAGTGTGATTTTTCAGGCCACCAGATCCAGGACTTGAACTATGGTCAGCTGTGTGGGAATCCAGCACCTTAATCATCATGCTACCTGCTGACCTCTTTTAAGGATTTAATAATTAAAAAAAAAAAAAGTCCTACACACCTTATGGGCAACAAATTATAAAAGGGATATGGTTTGAAGTGCTTCTCTTTCCCCTGGACAAGTCAGAGTTAGAAAGGACAGCCGTATTCCACCTAGACCACCTGGTGTCATTCTTACAGCATGCTCATCTTAAGGCTTTTTAGAGAGAAAAATATAGAGGTCTAGTTGGTTTCTCAAAAATAAGTAAATAAAAAATTTTGGGACCAGCAGTTGGCATAATGGCTATGTCGCTGGACCCCCACGTAGTCGACTATGCTTCAAGTCCCAGACCCGGTGGCTTAAACTCACGCTGGGGGCGTGTGCGTGCATGCCCAAGATCCCGAGAGGAGAATGGAGGAGAAGGGATTGCGGTGTGGCCATCCCCCATGAGGGAGTGATTTCTCACTTTCTGTCTCTCTGTCTCTCTGTGTCTTCCTGGTGAGCGCACGCGACCTATAGCAAAAACCTCTCCAAAAAAAAAGTTTTCTGATTATGTTTGGAGCCCTGTTGAAAGAGGGGCTGCCCTGCCTACAGTTTTTCCTGATGCGCAACCTGCTTTCTGCGATTGAAACCTGATTCCTCTTCCTAGGTGAAATCACAAAAGTATATGCTGCCTTTCACCTGACAGGCCTGTCGAGACAAAGAAATACAAGCCAGGCAGGACCTGACTCATCCCACAAACCAGGCCTTTTACTACTTAGTAAATTAGGACAGTACATGGCTGTCATTAAGTCTTCGTAAAATGGCTGCTGTTAATCTGTTTTCTGTAGGCCTCAACCTTATCTCAGGACTTTATAGGTTAAGATAGAGGCCAGTGATTACTCGTAAACAAGACCTGGATGTGGAAGTAAGTAGTGTTGAATTTCTTCATATTCCCCAGAATCAATGAAGCTGAGATGTGCCTAGGTCAGGGATTAAGAGGATTCATTTACAGTAGTTGCAATCGTTTTGAATTTCCCCAGGAGAGAGCAGTCAACTTGAGAGAGAAAAGACATGCTTGGGCAGCTGGGCTGGGTACCAGGCCAGACACGACGACCCCCGATTCTGAGAGGCTTAGAGCCAAGGAGCCCAGGCTTAGTGATGAATGAAAGACAAATCTTCCCTGCATCCCCAAGAAATCTTCATAAGTGACCATGTACTTGAAATATGATGACTGTAACACTCACTCTCTGCTTTGAATACTGTCAACAGATGATCTGAAATTAATTCTTCCACTGAAGATTCCAGCTTCCTTTCTCCATCAATTATCCAAGGAGTTTGAGGCAGATTCCTGGAGTATTTATTATATCTCCCTGCCAAAGAAATATCAGGTAGCCAGCTGGAATGATGTGATTAACACAATAGGATAAAAAAGGAAACAGCAACTATTTAATGAATGTCAATTATCATAGCTCTAATGATGTAACACAATGCCTAGTCTTTAACTAACTTACAGTCTAATTTGGGGAGTGAGCACACAGATACGCAGATAATTACATTAAAAAGGTAAAAATGATAGAATACAGCTAACGACATACTACAAATGGAGCATCAAGTGATTTTGAAAGGGATGTGCAATATATGTATTAATCTGATTGGCTGACTAAACAAATTATATAATGTTATGGAACACACCAAAAGTCATTTTAAGAGGGATTGGTTTTAGACCTGATTAATAAAAGTTTCAGTGTAATAGTCATTAGTGATAATGTATGCCAAAGGATTCAAATGCAGGAAATTTTGAAGTGTCTGTAAGTTAAAAACAGCGGCCACAACAACAACAAAAAAACCCCCAGCAGAGTATGATTCACTGTTTTATGAATAAAGCTAACTAAGGCAGGTAGCTTCCATCGCCCTGGGCAGGGTATTACAGTCAAGGCTCCCCAGCGATTTCATTTCAGCTATTACTATGAAACAGCTGTGACTTTCAAAACAAAAATCGTCTGCTAGAATACCTCTTGGGAAAGTCGATGCAACTTTTTTTTTCAGTTGGAAGCTAAGTGTTTAGTCATTTTGGAGATAATAAAATGATTTTTCAAGTTTGCTTTCATGTTATAAAACATCCCTCTGCTGCTTTCTCCTGACCAGTCTCTACACCGACTCAGATTTCGACTTGGCCAGCTCTGACAAAAGCCATTAAAACTTGTCTTTTCCCTACGGTATGGCAGTTTAAATAACAGATCTCCTGAGAGATTCTTAAGGATGCCTACAGAACCAAAAGTAAGTTCGGCTATCAGTTCTACTTCCCAAAGAGGAAACTACTCAGTGAACCTCCGCATGACAAGAAGGATAAAACGAGAGGAGTTGGGTGAGATTTCAGAAAGGAGAATGAGTTGACAGTGTACGGATATTCTAGACTAAATATTTTACCAGCCACAAAAACAGCACCATGAGCACATTCAATTTCAAGAACAGTGCATACAGCCTTTGGTGAGTTTGGAGGACAAGGAAACTGCCTGCAAAACAAAATAAATTTTATGGCTACTATTTTCAGACATGATATTGAATCACAAAGCTAAGATGAATCAGCATTGTCTGAGACACACACAGAGCCTGAGTCTCTCAAGAATAAGCCTCTCCCTGACAGCTAGTGCTCGGACGGGAATGGTCTCACGGGCGTCTGGAACCCACTGGGTACACGGAGAGCAGCACCAGGTAGCCAGGTCGTGCTGCTACCTTCAGATCAAGGAAGCCTTGTCTTCCCGGAAGATCATTTTAACAGCTGCTAGATTTATGGGGCGGGATCCACATCCCTAACGTGGAAGCCTCTCCAGGCTCCCCAACCACTTGGCTGCTCAGGGTCACTTGCTGCGGGCTGGCTTACCTGATCCCCATCACTTGGGTTCAGTGGTAGCAATGAGAGATGGGTCGTATGAGTGAGTCCCGCCTGGGGGGAAGGTGAGCTACCACTTCTCTCTCTTTTACTTTCTCATTCCAACTATGACCTTGGATATCAGATCACAGAGTCCGAAAAGGTAGAACATGGTGGACTTTGCTCTCATTGCTAAGAAACTTCCATCCAAATGAGGACCAACGGGAAAGAACAATGTATGGCTTTATTTTCTCTCCCACATCCGGGAATTTCCAAAGCCACAAAATAAGAGTCTACTGTAAATGACTAGATCTGGATTTAACCCCAAATGCATGACTTCAAACTTTCATCTGGTTTCCAAGATGTCCTAACAAAGAAATCATTTAGAAACTTACTACTATTACTTATATCAAGCAACGGCTTTACTTCCTAAAATTAAATGAAAATATTTCCATTCTAAGACTTGTTTTTAGTCTCTTGATACACAAAACCCTGCCCCACAAAATTATTTCTAAAAATTAATTTGAGGATCTTCTGGAAAGATAACTACTATTTTAAAAAGTAAAGCGAATGCGCTGAGAATCAAGATGAAAGGTTTGTTGTATTCATTACAGTTTGGCATGTTTTAACAAATGGGGAAACTCATCAGCCTTCTCCCTCTTCCGAAGATGAAGAATGCTAGGAAATACAGGCCTGGGGGTGTGATGGGGACACACCTGAGCTGGGGAGTCAGGGAATCTGTCTCTAGGTCCACTTTCTATGGCCTAGTCGAACTCTTAACCAAGTCAGTTCCTTCTTTGGACATCAATATCTTCTAAAAGATCAAGAAGTTGGACTTGATTCATCAATTCGAATGTTTATTGGACAAACACATATTGAACGCCAGCCATTACGTGCCAGGTACTGCACGAGGAATTGGGAAACAGCAATGCCTAGGACACAATCCTAGTCCCTAAAATCCACCCCGTCCTGTTTCAAAGCTAATCCATCTGGAACACTCTCTTTATTCTAAATCCCATGATACTTTGTTTCTATGCTTCTACTTACTTGCGGAAATCCTCTTCTCTTATCTTATTCAGAGCTTTCATTACTGCCATTCTAGTGAATACCGACTAAACAGGGTAAAATGAAAAGAAAGGACATTTTATCACCTAGACAAGAAAACATCAGAGGTGAAACACAGAGCATCATTGGAGACAGCATATCTTTTTTAAAGTAATTATTTATTTAATTCCATTTGTTATTATTATTTTTTCAATTTCACCAGAAAGAGAGAGAGAAAGGAAAAGCAAGAAAGCAAGCCACCAGGCCTGAGTCTCGAACTGCAGTCGGCCATGTGGGAATCCAATGCCTTTAACCACCATACTACCTGCCTGCCCAACAGCATATCATTTTATATATTGAAAGGGAAATACATTGAGTTGTTGGAAAAGTCATGACATATTTTTCTATGTTCTTCTATGGCAAAATGTGACATGACTTTTCCGATAATCCAATACTTAACAGTTTCAAGGAAATAAGGGTTCAAAATGTCAACTCTGCAACTGTATACCTCTACCACCCTCCTTTTCAATTTAGTCCATATGTACAAAACCAGATGGATCCAGAACAGGTCTCTTTCTCTACACTGTCCTACTCTTCTCAAAATGTGGTATTCTTCAAATATGAAAAGGATGATATTGCAGGAATTGTACTGTGACTTTTCCCCCATTCCTCGGGAGGAACTTAGATTGATACATCTGTTTTTCCTTCCTTACATTGCTCCAGAAGCCACAAGATTTAATTTAGGAGTTGGCTGCCAGGGTGAAGGATACAACAGACCCAACCAGTCTGTACGGGCAACTAGTAACTCAGTGTCACTCACCAGGCGCAAAGTAAGCAAATCCTCTATACTGAACAGGAATGTCCCACTTGGGTTTTATAAAATAAGAAAAACCAAACTGCATGGTAGACATTCTAGAATTAAATAGGGCATGTATGATAGGACTTCAAAGGGTTCATGGAAAATTGTAATGATAGTACAAGTTATTTCTAGTGTAAACATTTTTGAAATTCTTGCAGTTTTTTCATAATAAACATTTCCATAGACTTGTTGAATAACCCTCTCATAAAAAGACCATAATGCTAAATTGCAATGGATTTATTCTATTATGAAATATCACATTTGGCTGAAAAAGAGTACAATATAGGTATCTCAACAATTTATCATCAAAGTCATCATTTTTCAAAATCATATTCTAGGAAACTCTAGGTAGTTCTACAAGGTACCACAGAGTTGGAAATGAAAATTACATAACTGGTAAGACATGAAATCTTAGGCCTGAAAGAATCTCAATAGGTCGTTTGATTTCCCCTCAGCCATGAAACTGGAAGACTACACTTGAGACTCTATAACTCCCATTGGCCAATGGTGTGGTGCTTTAACCAGACATCCTCGTCATATTTTCTGATGCTGGCATGTGTGTATTTCCTCAAAGGTTACAAAGAAAAAAAAAAACTCCATATAAATGTCTTACTCCTCATTCGGGTGGAGCTTCCCAACTGGTGTGGCAAGGCACCAGGGTATGGTTGGGTCAAGATGTCAATCCTCTGTGTTTAGAAGGGCTGTAGATCAGACCCTGGGACGGTGGGAGCTCCCAGGCCTGTTGCTTCCCATTTGGAGAAATTTCACCTGTTCTCCTTAGGTAGTGAACAAACATGCCATAGTGTGGGTTTATCATGACACAGGAAAAGTAGGGAAGCACTGCTCAAGGCTTGGCCTATATTTCTAATCATTTCAGTACTGGGTATTTAGCAAGTGTTAACTTTTCTCTCAGTTCTAAAAGGACCAGCAATCAGTCAAAGCAAGAGGAAAGACCAACAGATGTATCTTAGACAATAAACTTATATTGTTTTAAACAACCACATCAATAAAATAGATATTAGTAAGACTGTAGTAGTACTTCACTGTATAAAACCAGCTAAGTAACCAGGGTGGGAAAGATTGTCAATATTGTGCCATGAGGTTCTATCCTGGCATAATATGAACTAAAAAAGCATATGTTAACTAATTGGTTCATTAACGTGATGAGCAGCTAATGTTAGACAGTAAAGGAGAGTTTGAATAAGACATCCATTTTGCAAATGTAGCTTAAAATGGCTGTACCAATTGTGGATTGTTCTAAATAAAATAATTGACTCTAGATTATATTGTTTAAACATCAATTTCTAGAGACCAGCAGATGGCATAATGATTATGTCACTGGACTCAGTTGACTGGGGTTCGAGTCCTGAACCTGGTGGCTTGTGACTCACACCAGGTGCATGTAGCGTGCATGCCCCATGTCCTAAGAGAAGAATGGAGGAGAAGGGGAATAACCCCCCTGGGGGGCTACTTCTTGCTTTCTGTCTCTCTGTCTCTGTCTTTCCAGTGAGTGCACGTGCCCTATAGCAAAAATCTCTCTAAAAACAAAACGCTAATATTGGGAAAATTGACATTAGACAAAAGTTTGGAATGCTGTTCATACAATGTATTTCCCCAGATGATGTAATGTAGGAGATTAAAATCTAAAACTTGAATTTCCCCAAATGGGGTGTAGTAACATCATTGAAATGCTAGTTCTAAATTTAACCACATCAGGGGAACAACCTAGACACTGACACAAACACGAGGATGTTAGTGTGACTTCCCAGCCAGAGGTGAAGGTGCTGAGAGCTGAAAACAATATAAATAAATGTAGCAAATGGAAATACGTAAAAATTTTGCATAGCAGAGTTGCCACATTTACAGTTATTGTTATTTTCATTGTTAATTTGGTCAAGAAATGGGAATCCTTACCTGTTTGTTTTTGGCTGGCTTGAAACAATCTGGACATATTGTACCTCTGAAATAAAATCCAAGTGAATATAAAAGGTTAATGAGTTTATTTTGGGGTGGATACACTCGGATATGTTTTATACAATGTGACTGCTAAACTGAGACAAAATGAATCCCTACACAAGCTGTACTGCTTTACCGAGGAATCTTATAACAGAAGGCACATTTTAACCCTGAGACATGATAAGCTCTGAAATGCTCATTGGAAAGAAAAGCAATACTGTTTTCATGAAGAACAAACAGCATGAACAATTGTACACGATCGACATTGTTGTTTACGTGGCAACTTACAGGAAGTGGCAATCCTCAACTGTTTCTGGGTGAGCAAAGACCACACTCACTTCAAACAAGCTCTAAAAATTATAAAGACAGTTTTAAAATGAGCAAAAGGAAATAACATCTAACAACTTATGAATGGAAATAGAAATTAACTCTCAAAGATTAACTCAGAAAAAGTGACAAGGAAAACTGAAAATACTACTGCTCTCAAATCAGCTTACTCACAGTGCAGCTGTAAAGGAAATATATTTTATTTTTCTTTAACTTATAAAACTACGGCACTACCAAAATGTTTTAAAATAATTTTTTAAACAAATTTGTATACTTTTTGGACAAATATATAAATTAGGCGTGAAGAATTCAGGAACTTAGCAATAACCAAAGAAATAAAAAATTGTCTTGTCAATACTAGAATTGATTAAAATTATTAGTAAGGCCAAAACCAGTGTATTCACATCTTTAAAATACTGTACGAAGCTTCTTTCCAAAGCTGTCAAGTTTATTTTCTTTAGAATTATTTATTTAATTAAAAATTTTTTTTTCCCAATTTACTATAGGGCATGTGCTCTCAGCAGAGAGAAGCAGAGAGAAAAAAAGCAGTCACCAGGTTTGGAATTTGAACGGCAGTTGGCCATGTGAGAGTCCAGCGCTTTAACTACCACACTACCTGCTGTCCCTAAAGCTGTCAAGTTTCTTAATGGAGATCTAAATGTTTTGTTTTGTTACAGAAGTGATACAGACAAACTGTAAAATAATCAAACACAAGGTAGGGGTTTGTTCAGTCTACTCGATTGAGGTAGAACTAGTAACAATTTGGTATATTTCTCTCTAGTCATTTTTATGAATATAAATACATGAGTGGAGCCAGCCTATGGTCTGGTGGTTAAGGCAGCTGGATCCTACATTGTGGACTATGTGGTTCGAGTCCTGGACCTGGTGGCTTGAAAAACATGCCACGTATGAGAACATGTGCGCCCACAATCCCCAAAACTGGGAAAATTAGAGGAGAAGAGGTCACATGTCGTTCCCCACAGGGAGGTGCTTTCTTTTCCTCACACCCTTGACTCACTGGCTAGCACATGCACTCCCTGGGAAAATGAAAAACAATAACAAAAAATATGTGTGTATACTTTTTGACATATTAAACCATTTTCAGAAAACTGCTTTATTTCATATTAAATCACGGACATTTTTTAATTCTAGGATTGTAAGACATTATAAATTATAGAAAATGTTTCTGTTATAAAAGAAGATGCTAGAGGAGCCAGTAGGTGGCATGGTGCTGAGTCCTGTACCTGAAGGCTTGAAACTCATGCCAGGCACATGTGTATGTGTGCCAAAAAATCTGGGAGGAGAATAAAGGAAAAGGGATTGCGGTGTGGCCTTGTCCCCTGGGGCGGGTGATTTCTCACTTTTCCTCTCACCGTTTCTCTCTGTCTCTCTCTGGTGAGTTCATGTGCCATATGGAAAAAAAAATCTAAATAAAGTAAAAATGTTACAATGAACATTTTTGTACACAAAAAAAAAACTATTTTATACTCTATATGCTTTTTCCTCCATAGAAAATATACAAAATTCCACATTGAGAAAATTTTACAAATGTTATATGTTACAATTTTGTCTTTTTTATTGAATTCGGTATTTACTGAGTTTATTAGATCATCAGCAAACCGATTACCTACCCTAGATTCACAGTAGTGAATAGGTTTTTATGATTCTTTATTCTAATGTACAAAATAAAATTAAAATGAACACATTTCTTGTATTCAAGAGAATTTCACTCAACCTGAATCTATTAAGAGTATTATTGCATCTTTTGTTTTCTATTTTCTGTTCTCACTTACAAATGTAAAATTATTTGTACTTCAAAACTGAACCTTGAGGTCAGAATACTTTGCATTAATGACTTCTCTAATTTCCACAGTAGTTTCATTACCTCATTTCCTCTTCATACTATCTGTGAAGTGGTTTTATTTTCTATTCTCTCGGTACTCAGTTTAAAGGACAGTCAGAACTTACTCTTACTAAAAGAAGGAAATGGAGCTATATAACCGAATGATTTTTAAAACCCTAACTAACTTTAGAAGATGTTCTTGGGATTTTACTTGATTAGGGCAGTATCTGATACTCAGGGAACTTTCTTCAAGCAACACAAAGCAATAAAGCCATATTATTAAAGTCTAATTAAAGATAAGTTGGGGATATGTCCTGCTTTCACATCTGCAAGCCTGCTGAGCTCTTCCCTGAATTCAGTCTTCTCAGAGACTGGGGCAATATCTGCCCTGGAATAGTGGAGATGGCTAAGTGTTCTGCTTTCCCAGATGCATTCTTCCTAAAAGTAAACAGAGCGACTTGGGATACCAAATAAGATGGGATAGATAGAGCCACTCGTACTGTTGTCAGATAGGTTCTGTGTATGTATTTGAGACAAGACTAGCCACAGATAAACCAATATTAAATAGCGTATAGTTGACTTGTTCAGTTATTTATATATTGCTATGTATAAATAATCTGTCCTTCCAAGTAAACTGTAAATACATTAAAGGCAAAGATTCATTTCTAACCTTTTAAGGCCAATTAGGGTACACTACACCTGATATATTCAGAAGTGTGTTTGGAGGGGCCAGCAGGTGGCATATAGTGGGTAAGGCACTGGACTCCCACATGGCCAACTGTGGTTCAAGTCCCAGACCTGGAGGCTTTAAACGCATGCCAGTTGTGTGTGCGTGAGTGCCCAAAATCCCAAGAGGAGACTGAAGGAGAAGGGATTGTGGCATGGCCATAAACCTTGGCAGGTGATTTCTCACTTCATTTTTCTCTGTCTCTCCACTGAGCACACATACCCTGTAGCAAAAATCTCTCTTAAAAAAAAAAAAGTGAGTTGGATCACAAAGAAGTAAAGAAGAAGAAAAAAGTAATACTTTAAATTAAATTTAAGACTACTAGAAATTAACATTTTAAAAGCTTAAAAATCCTATACTAGATTATTGAAAGAGAAGATTCTTTGGCTAACCATAACTTGGTCATAAAATGAAGTAAAACTAGTAAGACCCGAAAATGAAATTAACAACACTGATTACCCAATACCTTTCCATCAATGGGAACACCCAGTTCCTCTGAAAACAGGGGATGAGTTATCCATTTGTAGGCTTCTTTTAGCTGAACTATATCATTTCTTCCCAGCGACAGACTCTGCTTTCTGAATCACATAAAAATTAATTCACTGACATGAAAACGTCACTTTTGCTATTAAAGGCAAAAATTTATGCAATGATTTAAAAATATTGATTGAGCATCTACTACATGCCAGGTACTATTTTACACATTAAATAGAAAGCAGAGAAAAAAAAGCAGATAAAATTTCATCACCTCATGGACCTCACAGCAGAATCAAGGAATATATATATTATATATATATATATAAAATATATATTTCTAATGGCAATATAAGACAATTTTTAAAGCTCCAGAGACAAAAGCATACTAATGGGTTTTGCTGAGCTAAAATTGCCAGAAACCAAGATTCATACATACATCAGAAGACAGAAAAGTAGAATAGAAATGACAATATGTTGCTTAGAAACTACAAAACTATGTATTTAAAAAAATCACATCCACGTTAGAAATATTTGCATCTCCCTCTTGCTGCAAGTGTGGCTTCCTTTTGGGAACCCAGTGTAAAAGCTGTACTTCTTACTCTTTTTACTGCTGATGAAGAAACACTAAATCCTAAAGCACCAATGTTCTAAAATATTCAATATGAGATGATATTTGAATGAAAATCTGACATTCCCCCAAAATCTACTCATGAGCCAGGAAATAGATTTTGGGAAGTCCCCATTGTAAGTGCTAGCTTTAGTTTGTAACCTAGAGTTGTGATACAAAGGAACCGAAGTGAACGGGAAGAAAACATGGTGTGGTATTATTAAAACTTTTCTGTTCTACTGAGAACTCTGGGATATTACTAACAAACAAACAAGCCCAAATCATTTAAATAATTACTTCTTCAAACCAGCCTATGGCTATTTACAGGATTGCTCTCCAGAAAAGAGAGGTCACAGATAACATGCGAATCTTCCCTTCTAATGTCTGATCTTCACTGACAGAAACAGGCACTATCCACTGTAATTTAATTCTGTAAGACCAAAGACATTACTAATTGCAGGTAGAAAACAAAAAGTAATTTAGCTAACAGCTAACCTTAATTGATTTGGGGGGGTATAAAGACCATTGTTCCTCTAAAAATGCAAATTGCAAATTAGATGATCTACCCACTCTGTATCCAGCTGAGAACATAACGGGTTACAGGGAATACTTTCATAATCTTAAAGATTTCCGTTCAACAAGGAAATGCCCAGATAAACCCTACATCTGACAAATTATCAAATTATTCTCTGCATTCAAAAACTTACTCAAGTACTATAGCTTCATAAACTGTTCCTAGTTCTCTAAATATCAGAAACATTTGAGACCAACAGTTGGCCTAGTGGCTATGTCGCTGGACTCCCATGTAGTCGATCGCGGTTCGAGTCCCAGATCTGGTGGCTTAAACTCACATCAGGTGTGCGTGCATGTGTGCCCAAGATCCTGAGAGGAGAGTGGAGAAGGGATTGCGGTGTGGCCATCCTCCTGGGGGGGTGGGGGGGTGATTTCTCACTTTCTGTCTCTGTGTCTTTATCTTTCTGGTGAGCACACACGCCTTATAGCAAAAACCTCTCAAAAA